CCTATCCACGTCATCATTTACCCAGAATGCTTTGTGTGTAAATAAAATGGCCCCGTCTGTGTTAAAATATATTTTTAAACTTTTAGTTTAAAAATTACAAAACTAATCATCCTACAGTACTTTTACAGTTTTTATTTCACAGTTAAAATATATGTTTATCAAATAAAGTCTAATGTTACAACTAATCAGGGATCCTTTTAAAATCTTCAGAATCTGACCATGAACGATGTTTTTAGTTGATTTTAAAAGAAAACTCCCACATTTGTTACTGCAACACGAAACTACTTTTGGCACAAACATTTCGGTTCAGGTTACTCAAATACTCATGTTGGGATGGAAACAAAAAATCACGAGATATCTTCAAACCTCATCTGAGCGTGCTGAGCACAGCCGCCTACCTGCAGCCCCTCGATGGCCAGCCGCAGCATGCTGGGGGTGAGTTTGGACGCCTGCTTGAAGGTGAAGTTGCTCCAGTCGATGATGAGGATGAAGCCGTTGACCTGCAGCTCGGGATCTTCGATCATGGATTCCAGCGACAGCAGGATCGCCCTCAGTATGTCCACAAAAGTGTATCTGAGAAAAACGGGACAGAGTTTTATTTTACCAAAACACGAGAGACAGACAAAAAACATCAGAGATACACAAATACAGAGCTGTTAGGATGTGAAAATCTGGAAAACACATCAAATAACTTGAGCTGAAACAGTTGGAACATCACGTACAGATGATATTGTTATATGCAGTGAAAGCAAGGAGCAGGTGGAAGAGAGCCTGGAGAGGTGTAAGTAAAACAGACTCCATATGTCCGAATGAAACAGGGAAGACATGCAGGATGTTGGTGTGACAGAGGAGGATGCAGGGATGGAAGCAGATGAGCTGATGATACCAGGTGTGCACAATATCTCAGCATTAACATTGGTATTAGCCTGGTTAAAACCAGACCCTGTCCTTCACTTTGCTTTGAGTGAGGGTCTGGACTCGCTGCATAGAGAAGCGATTCTTGCAGGAGGCGTGGCCTCTGCTGAAGCATGTGTGTGTTGTCGGTGTGAAGGAGGCTAAGCTAAGAAGCTAACCGGAAATCGCGTGCGCTGTAAACAACCCTACTGAGAGGAGAGAAGTACCGGTCTGAACGAGACGACTGTAAATGAGAGCTGCTGCTTTGTCAGACAAATTTATTTTARTTTGGAAGCCTTTTCAACACAGACTGGCTTCAGAGCCGGCTCTTGGCATAGGCGAACTAGGCGGTTGCCTAGAGCGCCATCTGCTGTAGGGGGCGCCGAACCGCAGAAGAAAAAAGTAATTATTTGTAATCCCTGGTTGTAACTCTGCTCAGCGCCCCTGTCAGTTAGCATTGCCTTAAGAAATTATAATGAAGTATTACAGGAAAAATAAACTACTCTACCCATTAAAAATTTTTGAAATTGAGGTTTTGAAAAGATCCGTAAGACTTGAAAAATCTCTGAGATCGCCCTATACGTCTGTATACCTGCAAAATGATGTAGAATCCTCATAACTTACAGGCAATCCATACAAGTTGACATGTATGTTGTTATTTATTTGCTTTCTGGGAAAGCAAATAAATCTAAATTTACCACGGCACCTTTCACTGTCAAACTTGTTTTTAGGGGGTTTTAATTGGGGTGGGTGGAACATAGTTCGGGGGTGGGGGTTGCGCTTCAACTCGCCTAGGGCACCGAAATGGCTAGAGCCAGCACTGACTGGCTTCATTCACTTCCTCCACTGCCGTATGCTAAACTAATTAGCAGACTCTGCGCAGAAAATCGACGTCGTTCAAAACTCCGCCTTCTGTTTGCTGATTGGCCCAGGTAAAATAAACTACAAGAGACACCGAGCAGAAATTTGGCGTTCTGTTCTCTGATTGGCCCGGCTAAAAATCTGCCAGCGAAATCCTTGTCAATGGGAGAAGTCCCAGACGGAGCAGTGAAGGGAAATTAGAATTGAGCGGAGCTGCGTAGGAAGGCAAGGACCAGGCTACATCGGTATTGGTCCGATGAGTAAAACTGGGCCGATATTAACAACCGATATTGATTTCCCACTTTTTAGCTCTGTGTTTCTGCTTTGGGAGTGGTATCTGTTTAAACATGATACTAGCTGTGTTTACATTGCAAATGTGTGCAAAACTTTGCTGATATTCTGTTAATGTCGAAAAAACAGTTTCGCAACTGCGGTGTTTCCATTAAGTAAGAAACGCTATTAAAGTCACGTGAATACATTTGTTCTCGCTATACGTCATTACAAACATGGCGGCGATGGAGGTAAACACATAGCATGTTGCTACCACGACACTAGCGCT